AAAAGGAACCATGGGTCTATCTCGATTATTTTTGCCTGTTACAAACATATGCACAAAGACATAATACCCTATACCACAGTGTGGTGAAGGGTATAAAAAGTGAATAGTTTTGGGTTAATTGATCTGTCGTTGCAAACTGTTCATGATATTGACCTCCAAACTTTATTTTGGTGGAAGCTGTGTCTACTTTAATGTAAAAAAATTTGTAAAAACAGGTTGAGGCGAACCAGTTTTTATGTTCTCTATCGATTTGTGACTAAGCCACTCATTGCACGGTCTGCGTGTCAAAAGAAAACTAGATGCCAACAAAATGGGGACTACGCCCCTTATGTATCATTTTTCAACATTTTAACTGCATCTACCTTTAAATGATGCTGACATTTTGAAGCTCGATTTTGAGTGTTTTTTTTTTTTAATTTTACTTCTAGCTTAAATATAAATATAAGATTATTGTAGTCGCGAATCTGCGTAATTTGATATGTATTTTGTGTATGTAGTATGCACAGCTTCAGAGTAATACTCATCCGAAGGTGCGAATTTTGTGCAATCAAGTTTCTAAAAAAACCTATTTTTCGGGCCAAATTTTTAGATCTGTCAACTGAATGATATGGGTACGATCAATAAGGTTTTTTTACGTTTCGGATGATATAAAATCTTCTTCGTGAAAATCCATCTACTAGAACGGCGGGAACTGGCTTTCCAAAAACACGAAATTTGGCAAAAAATGTTTTTGAAAATATCGCGGATTTATTTGCGTTTTCTGTGTATCATTTCCACTTCAATAAATGGCCTCATACGGATTTTGATCTTTTTCGAAAAGAGAACTTTAAAAACTTCAGCCGAAAGAGAGATGTACGCAATTTATCTCAAAAATAGATTTTGCTGGCACATCTATGGTCCTTAATGGACCACATTGAAATCGGTATAGATCGATGTATTTTTTTAGGGTGCACACCGAAATCGGATGCGCGTTAATGGCATATGGAGTTTTCGGAAATTATTCGCGTTTTACGACGGCATATCTTAGCCGTCAAATGAAATTTCGCAAAATATATATGGATTGGAAGATAGACTTCAGTATTTCCTGGAAACCGCATGCGCATCAAATGATGTTGAGAATTACGGGATTTAGACGCAATTTAAAATGTATATTTCATAATATTATTTTATTTTAAGATTTATTCCTATTTATAGAATTCTAAGATTTATCGGAAGGGTCTTGATATAATCCGCAAGGCGTATACTTATACACAAAAAGTGATTATTATTATTATATATGTCAATTTTTCGGCGAAATTCGGGTAAAATAGCAGAATAACCCCAAAATTTTTTTCTGAAATTTCTTTTATACAATTAAAACCAGTGAGCGGAGCAGTATAGTCGGACGGAGCCGACCATACGATACCCTACACAACCATGGAACTCAAATTTTCTGCGGATGTGTATTCCGAGCCTGGGCAATATTTCGTGATATTTGCACCCTCTTGCCCGATTAGTGGTAAACAGCACCTCTTCCTCACACTGACATATTTTCCGAATATTACGAGTATTCAGTACAGCTATTGTCCAGATTTCCTTCACCGTAGGTTGTGTTGTGATGTTCGGACTTCATTTGTGGTCTATAGATCGACTCGATAATAACAAAAAAAATTAAGTTTTCGGTCCACTTCATACCAAAATTATTATCTGATCATCACCGAAAATTATAGGCGTTGTCCTTGACCATAACTGGAACCTCATGGGGTAAATATATACGCTATAGAATACAAATTTTGTCATTTTTCACACAAAAGTCAGTGTCCATTTGACCCGCTAAATATTGGCCGATCTTTATGAAAACAGGCATGCTTATTCTTTGGCCCGATTCCCTTCTCCATGCAAAATTTCACGATGTTTGGGCCATTATTGCGGCCTCTGGAGCGACCAGAAAAACCGACAAAAATTTATTATTTGGTCCATTTCATCCCCTAAATATTAATCGATCTTTCCCAAAAACAATAGGGGTCTTCATTGGCCAGAACTCATCCTACATGCAAAATTTCGTGAAGATTGGTCCATAACTGTGGTCTGTAGCGTGTTTACAAATTATAATGGACAGACGGACGGACGGACGGACACACATGTCTAGATCGACTCAGCTAGTCGAGATATGACGATCGGTATACTTAAAGGTGGGTCTAGGACCAATATTTCGCGGCGTTACAAACATTTGGGGCTGCACAAAGCTATAATACCCTGACAACATAGTTGTGTAGGGTATAAAAATAAATATAATGACATTATTTTTTCGAACCAAAAACAAATATTTTTCCTCAATATCTTGTTTTGTTGTCGCGTTGATTTATAAACCGCTACACGGACTTGTGTGATTTTGATATTATTTGATTCACCATCGTGTTTACATTATATAGATATTTTTAAACTAATTTTTAGGTGTGTGTATGTCATTAATATAATGAAAATATTAATGTAATCTGCTATATTTTTTTATTTTGCTCATATTTCGCGAATATGTGCAACTTTATCGTGATTATTATAATATATTCATATTCTTATTTTACGGAGGAAGATATATATCAAAGTTTTTGGTCAATATAATAAACGGTATAATTTTAAAATTTTTTCTTATGCCAAAAATTTAAACCTCGATAACTTTTGCGCGCATCAACCAAAAGTTTGATCGCGAACGGTTTCGGAGTCAGAACATTTTTCTCTAGATGTGTACCAAAAAACATATATGTGCCACAAAAACAAAAAAGCTACTTTTTGAAAATGGAATATTAAAAAATTGGCAATATTGCCCATATATTTTCGATCGATTTCATTTAAATAGTGTAATCGTTTCAGATATAGATCCCAGATATATTTCCGATTTCATCCAACATTTGTCAAATTGGCTTGAAATTTGGCCAACGGAATGTAGCATCGGTCCCGATTCTCATATAGCTCTCATATATACTATTTATATACTCGAACTTGAACATTTAATTTTACTCTATTTGTACCAAATATATTTTACTACAAATTATTACTAGAAATGTAATTGCAGCTGTCTAAAAAATATACACAATGTATTCATATATACCCTTCTTTAATGATCAACTGAAGGGCCGCATCAAAATTGCCTTACAACCCGCAGAGGGACAAAAAGTTGCCCCTAAGGGATAAATAAAATGACTTCTTTTTCTAAAATTGAAGCGGATATAGACGACAATTTCATATCATTTTCTGTCTTCTCTGCTCACTACAAAATAAATATCGCTAAGGAGTTTTATACTAACAGAGGACACATTGCACAAGTACTTTCCTTCCCTTTCTCATTACAAATACCAAGACAACTTCGTAATTAAGAAATATATACATTTCGTATAAGATATCATTAAATATCTTGTGTGGTAAGAGATTTTATTCAGGCCCTTGTGGTCATACGTATAAACTCACCCCACTCACTGCTGGTACTCTGGTAATGTTTTGTGTCACAATAATGTTGTTGTTGGAGAAACTGCAATTACAATTATTTGTTTTTATCATAAAGTGCTAAAATAGATTAGTGTTCAGTATGAAGTGGTTTTATGACAATTAATGCGAAGGAGACAAGTATCTGTAGAACCTTCCTTTTGGGCCAAATTAATTGCTTTATGCAAATTGCCCTACGCAAATAGATTTATGTTAATTGCTTTATACAAATGACGTAATCGGTCTGTATTGATGACTCATCCATCTCTTTTCCTCTTGGTGTGTTGTGTGATCATATTGTGTTCTATCTCTTTCCCTCTTATTGTTTTATGCCGTCTGTCTGTTCAATATTTTCTTTCGTCTTTCCACAATGTGGTGCATTTATAATTGATTTATGCTAATTGCTTTACGCAAATGACGTAATTGCTGTCCGTCTGTTCAATATTTTCTTTCGTCTTTGTCCAATGTGGTCCGTTTGTACGACCTTGATGACCCTGAAAGTTTATTGGTCCCTGAAATCAATAGCGTGTGTGTCCCATATTTGTTCTTTCCCCCTTTGTTCCGTATATTTCCCGTAAGCTTATGTGTGTTTCCCCCTTTCCCTATCCACTTGTTTGCTTTTTTTGTCTTGTCCAATGCGGTCCATTCGTATGACCTTGATGACCCTGTATGAATACCGCTTGTGTCCCATATTTGTTCTTCCCCCCCCCTTTCATCCGTATTTTTCTGTAAGTGTCCCCCCCCCTCTTCCCTATTCACTTGTTTTTCGTGATGCAGTGTCGCAGTGCGGCCACCGCTCTTATCTACACTTATCCCCCATCTCTACCCACTTGATTTTTTTGGTTGCACAATTTTGTGAAATACATGAAGCAGTGTCTCATATGATTGTCTATTGGAACAAGACTCAATCCGATCATGGGTGTCTTATCAGAAAGAATTTGTTTCTGTTTATTTGATGCATACTTGTTGTTGTTATTTTTTTTCCAATATGAATCCATTGTTTGTAGTTTGTTAGAATTTACAATATGTAATGTCTGTCCATTGAGCCAATTTGAATCTTAAGTCTCTTATCAGCAAGTGTTTGTTGCTATGGTTGGAGAGGCGCCCATCGGTCTATAGATTCTACCAAGACCATATGTCAGCCCCACCATTGATTATCTGTAATATGATTATTGTTTCTAATATTTGAAGTAAGCCTGTCTCTTTAAAGAATTGATCAAGTGTTGGATGCACAAATGTTAGTTTGTTGTTTTACTCTGACTATTGAGTTGAATCTAACATACATTGTTTTTGTTGTTTCTAACATGAATTCAAGAACAATATTTGCAAGATCATTATTTCATGACATTTTAATTTTCTTTATTTTAATTTATTTTTATAGTTGTCAATGTATTTCATTTGAAAACTATACATTTTCTAGCATAAGCGTAGATGGTGAATAAATATATTTATGCATATTGAGAAAATATAATAAAATATTCTGACTTTGTAGCTTGAACTGTAAACATTTTGTAATAAACTATAAAATATTAAATACTTGTAACATGTCGTCTGCTTTTGCTGCTGGTAAAGAAAATATTGAAAACATGGATAAATTTGGTTTGAAGAGTCCACGTAAAATTCTTGCCGAGAATGTTAATAATGTACGTAAAATGTCCATTGGTACTGATGAACCCGTACCCAACAAGGAAGCAACAACAAATACCACTACTACAAGCAATGTTGCTGGCACGTCTTTGGCCAACCGACCTGCTGTTCCCTTTGATCCGTCTATTGAACCCCTGCTAAAGGAAAATCCCAAACGTTTTGTTATATTCCCAATACAATATTTGGATATTTGGCAGATGTACAAAAAGGCTGAAGCTTCATTTTGGACCGTGGAAGAAGTTGACCTCTCCAAAGATTTAACAGATTGGGAAAAACTAACAGACAATGAACGCTTTTTCATTTCCCATGTTCTGGCCTTTTTCGCCGCCTCCGATGGCATTGTTAACGAGAATTTGG